AAGTTTGTTTCAAAATGGTGCCCCCTTTAACGCCCACAATTGCTTATATACGATTTTAAAAATTTAAATATTTCGGAAAAGTAAAAATGCAGTTTTATTGTGTTTATCAATACCTATCGAAATGTAGAAGAAATTTTTCAAATCGGACCATTCGTTAAAAAGTTATGCGTGATCAAAGTTTCTATCTCCATCTCCCTCGCACTCCCTTTACCTGAGTAACGGGTATCTGATAGTCGGGGCACCCGACTATAGCGTTCTCTCTTGTTTTTATTGCTCTTTGCCTTAGATTTTAGAAAGGAACGCCCTTAATTTTAGAAAAATTTACCCTACAATTTAAGGTTTGATGCCTTTGAAGTCAAAAATAAGGCGAATTTCTTGTTTTTATACCCTTGCAGAGGGTATTATAATTTTGGTCAAAAGTGTGCAACGCAGTGAAGGAGACATCTCCGACCCTATAAAGTATATATATTCTTGATCAGGATCACCTCCTGAGTTGATAAAGCCATGTCCGTCTGTCTGTTTCTACGCAAACTAGTCTCTCAGTTTTAAAGCTATCGAATTGAAACTTTGCACACACCCTTCTTTCCTTTCCACGCAGTATATATGTCGGAACGGCCGGGATCGGCCGACTATATCCTATTGCTGCCATATAACTGATTGATCGGAAATGCCATAACTTTGGTGTTTGTAAAGTTAGGAAGTTGGAATTATCTATGGGTTTTATATTTGCCCAATCAATCCGGCCTACCAAATTTCATAAGGATCGGCCGACTTTATCCTTCAGCTGCCATATAACTGAACGATTAGAAATGACATAACTTTGGTGTTTTTAAAGTTAGGAAGTTGGGATTTTTTATGACTATTAAGAATGCATCATATGAATAGTCTAGGAAAATATAATTTACAGAATATTCTGCAAGAATATATCAACTTCGGCTCCGCCCGAAGTTAGTTTTCCTTTCTTGTTATTTTTTTTTTTTTTTTTTTTTTTTATCGCTCGGAGTCCCACGGCCCACTTACCCGCCCAACCGACCGAGGGGCGCAGCCGTGTATCGTACGGCACGATACGCGATAAGATAGACGCGAGATAGGAAAATAAAGGTAAAGGTCCGGGGAAAAAAGTAATAGTTAGATCAATCTTGTGCCAATGAAGCAAGTATTAATCGTTTTAGGAGCGGCAGAGAGTCAAGATTTGATATTACAGGAAAAAGTCTATTATAGTCAGAACATAATACTCTGAAAGGCTCATGCAAGGCATAGTTAGATTTACAATGATTTAAAATTAGGGGAATATAATTTCTAGTTAATCTACTTGGCACAGAAAAGTTTAGCCGACTTAACAAGTCGGGGCAGTCAATATCACCATGTATAAGGTTATAAATAAAGATAGTACCAAGCATCGTTCTACGGTTGGCTAGGGATGGTAAATTAATCAAAAGAAGTTTACTAGAATAAGAAGGTAAGATAAGATTTGCATCCCAGTTTAGGCGCCGTAAAGCAAAAAGAAGGAAGTTTTTTTGTACAGATTCAATACGACCAATATGTATTCCGTATTGTGGACTCCAGACGGGAGACCCATACTCCAGAATCGGACGGACTAGCGAAATAAATAAAGTTTTAGTCAAATAAGGATCATTGAATTCTTTTGACCACCTTTTAATAAATCCAAGCCCTCCTCTGGCTTTATTAACCATGGATCACATAAGAAAATTTTAGTTTAGGGTCTAAGAGAACGCCAAGATCGTTTACAAGAGTTATTCTATCCAAAGAGCTGCCACTTAATGTGTAAGTCGCGTATATCGGATTGGCCCGATAAAAAGTCATCAGCTTGCACTTGGAGCCGTTTAAATTTAGTAAATTATCTCGGCACCAGTTTTGAAAATTATCTAGCTCGGATTGCAAGTCTAAATGGCAGGAAATGTCCTTATACTGCAGGCACAACTTAACATCATCTGCGTACATAAGTACGCGAGAATGACTTATAATTGAGGGAAGATCGTTAATAAATAATGTAAAAAGTAACGGACCCAGATGGCTCCCTTGTGGGACACCGGAGGTAACACGGAGAATTTCAGAAATTGAATTTTTAAAAAAGAACCTTTGTGACCTGCCATTTAGATAACTTGAAATCCATTTAAGCAGATCAACTGGAAAACCTAAAAGGTCAAGTTTTTGAATAAGAAGTAAGTCATTTACAGAGTCAAATGCTTTACTAAAGTCAGTGTAAATGACGTCTGTTTGAAAAATACTATTAAAGCCTTTTATCACAATTGTAGTGAGCTCTAGAAGGTTTGTAATTGTGGATCTACGTTTAATAAATCCGTGTTGACACGGAGAAATAATTGATCTGCAAAGGTGCTGGAAATGAGGAGTAATAATTTTTTCAAAAAGCTTAGGAATAGCTGACAACTTAGAAATACCTCTGTAGTTACTGGCTTCTAACTTGTTACCTTTTTTGAAAAGAGGAATAACAAAGATAAACAACTTGTGAAGAGTGGGTCAGAATATGAGGTTTGACTTGGGCATGGTGTAAAAATAAGGCTGTGATGAATAATCTAAAGTAGAGTAAGTCGTTTGAAAAAATTGGGCAAATAAATCGGCTATTGCCTGATCTGTGGTTGCCGTCATGTTTTCGAACGACAGCGAGGAAGGAAAAGAATTAGATTTACGCTTGGTGTTAACAAAATTATAAAACTGTGTTGGGTTCTGAGAGAACTGGACCTTACAACGGTTTAAGTAACTATTATAACACTGAGCATTAAGCACGGTAAATCTTGACCGAGCACTTAAATATCTAGTAAAAACAGATTGAGAACCGGTATTCCTATACTTCCTAAAAAGTCTGGACTTTACATTTCTTAAGTGTGTCAACTCTTTGCTAAACCAAGGTGATTTATTGGAAGTTGACGGATAGTACCACGGAACACAGGTATTAAAAAATGAGTTTATTGCAGTATAAAAAACATTAACTGCATCGGACATGTTATTGCATAAGTAAAGATCAGACTAATTAAAGCCAGAAATAAAATTAATAAGCCTCAGAAAGACTGCCTTGCGAAAACAATGTATTCGTTTGGATTTCTCTGATTTTTCTTCTGTAACTCTACCCGTATCAAATGAAAGTTCGATTGTTGGGTGATATGGATCTTCAGGTTGCGTGAGTGGTGCTACTCTGGACAGAAACACACCTTCAGGATTTGATACAAAACACAAATCAAGTAGGCGACCTAATGAATTTCGAACATGGTTTACTTGAGATAGAGATATGTCAAGCAGGCCATCAATAAAATCATGCTGTGCTATAGGTAGTAAGACATTCGATCCATCCTCAGTGGACCAAGTAACTCGAGGTATATTAAAATCACCTAGAACTATCAACTGATCCCTATCGGAAAGCTTATTTGCAACGGACTTAATAACGGATAGGTGAATGAAATAATCAGGAAAATCAGACAACGGCGGAATATATGAGCAAGTTATGTATATAAGGTTACCAGGAAGCGATAACTTTACACAAATAAATTCAATGGTATTGAATTCATCAAAAAACAAGAAGGGAAAGCTAACTTCGGGCGGAGCCGAAGTTGATATACCCTTGCAGAATACTCTACAATTATATTCTCCAAAATTATTCCTATGATGCATTCTTAATACTCATAAAAAATCCAAACTTCCTATCTTTAAAAACACCAAAGTTATGGCATTTCCGATCAATCAATTATATGGCAGCTATAGGATATAGTCCGCCGATCCTTATGAAATTTGGTAGGTCGGATTGATTGGCCAAATATAAAACCCATAGAAAATCTCAACTTCCTAACTTTACAAAAACGAAAGTTATGGCATTTCCGATCAATCAGTTATATGGCAGCTATAGGATATAGTCGGCCGATCCCGGCCGTTCCGACTTATATACTGCGTGCAAAGGAAAGAAGGGTGTGTGCAAAGTTTCAATTCGATAGCTTTAAAACTGAGAGACTAGTTTGCGTAGAAACAGACAGACGGACAGACGGACAGACAGACGGACAGACAGACGGACAGACGGACATGGCTATATCAACTCAGGAGGTGATCCTGATCAATAATATATATACTTTATAGGGTCGGAGATGCCTCTTTCACTGCTTTGCACACTTTTGACCAAAATTATAATACCCTCTGCAAGGGTATAACAAGAAAGGAAAGCTAACTTCGGGCGGAGCCGAAGTTGAAATACCCTTGCAGAATACTCTGTAAATTATATTCTCCAAAATTATTCATATGATGCATTCTTAATACTCATAAAAAATCCCAACTTCCTAACTTTAAAAACACCAGAGTTATGGCATTTCCAATTGTTCAGTTATATGGCAGCTATAGGATATAGTCGGCCGATCCTTATGACATTTGGTAGGTCGGATTGATTGGCCAAATATAAAACCCATAGAAAATCCCAACTTCCTAACTTTACAAACACCAAAGTTATGGCATTTCCGATCAATCAGTTATATGGCAGCTATAGGATATAGTCGGCCGATCCCGACCGTTCCGACATATATACTGCGTGCAAAGGAAAGAAGGCTGTGTGCAAAGTTTCAACTCGATAGCTTTAAAACTGAGAGACTAGTTTGCGTAGAAACAGACAGACGGACAGACGGACATGGCTATATCAACTCAGGAGGTGATCCTGATCAAGAATATATATACTTTATAGGGTCGGAGATGTCTCCTTCACTGCGTTGCACACTTTTGACCAAAATTATAATACCCTCTGCAAGGGTATAATAAGACGCGAAGGACCAATATTTAATTTAATTCCATACCAAAATAGAATACATTTTTTAAATTTCACATTATTATGAAAAAAACTATCAAACGGTCTCGCAGTATGCTCAACTTTTTACTGCGCCTCTTTGGCGTCTATGCAAGTATAACAAAAATACATATTACTTTAATTAAAAGTTAAGGGGCTAAACATATTTCCAGACTTTTCGTGGGGAAGTAAAAAAATTGGTTTTGTTTTTGTTCAGTTTTTATTATTGCTGTTATTAGGTTTTTCTTCAAGAAAATGTTTTCTATTATAATTGATGTATTATGCTTAGTAGGAAATATTGTTGCTTTATGGTTCGCATTTCACTTAACGGTATTATCGGTTTTGTGATTTTATCAGAATAGGTTGCACAACAAGTTTTTCATTTTCTAGTATTTTTTTGTTTGGACAGAAGGTAGTTTGAAGTTACATTATTAAGGTATATTGTAAATCATTTATTACTGGTAAATGGTTTTAATAGGCATTACCGATTTACTGATTGTAGACGAACTATTTATAAGACTTTAAATTGATTTTGCATTGCACTTCACAAACAGGAATATAGAAAGCTGTTATCACAGTTTTTTTTTTTGGATAGAATAACATAAATTCAATGAAGAGTGTGATAAAAGGTATCGTGTGGAAAACCCGAAGAAATTTAAATATTCTGTTGAAATTTGAATTGCCGATTAGATTTTTACATTAGGTATATCCATTATACATTTATTTATTTGCCTTATGATTTTTATTAATTTTGGTTTTAATTTCATTAAAGTTTGGTCGAAAATACATGTGTCGAAAATTTTTCGAAAAAATGTGTCTTCAATTTTATTATGGTATTTATAATTTTTAAATAATTTAAAAGGATATAAAATAATTTATTTCCTTTCAATTATTCATGTTTTATCTAGGTAATTTATAAGCGTAAACAGTTTCTCAAATTTGTGTCAAAATAGTTAGAAATCATGGGATTGCTACTGGTGCTTTTGGAAAATAAGTTTGTCAAAACAAATCAATCGAGTTGGTCTGGGCTCATTTATACTTATATATTTAAAAAAATATAATTTATAGACGTCGCTCAAGTGATTTGTTGGGGACTGAACCGCAAAAAGACTACCGCCGAACCATTTCAAAAACTCACTCAACTGGAGGCAACTTGAGCAAACTTTTGAAGATGGGCCAAAACGTTCAGGTCAATTCAGATGAATGGAGTGTTAAAACTACTCATATGCAGCTATATTTTATGTTCGTATTAAGATAGAAATAGAGTAACAAAATTGATCAAATTAAGAATTAACGTTTATAAAAAATTTAGCACAATTTCGTTTCTAACACTTTAACGTTTCGATAAAAGTGGTTGGTTTTCACTTTGATTCGCTTAAATGTAAACAATTAAAAGGATTACCAAAAAGGTTCCGAACACTTATTTCAGTGTTCCAATGCTAGCTAAGACTTTACCATATGCTTGTATATAGTACCAAATTAATTTTCCGGGGGTCTAGCATCCGGCACCAAGACCCCCAAGACTCTAACCTAAACTTATCTTAAAAAAAAGTCACGGACTTAAAAACTAAATTCATCAGAATAAACAAGTAGAGTTGCTTTTGGTTACCACAAAAATGACACGTTTAACAGACTTTTCTTTGCTGCAACTACGAGAGTTGGCTCTTGTCTTTACATAAACATAATGTTAGTATCATTTCGATTTAACAATAGTAGGGGAAACATTTGGATATAGTTTCGAATATCTTTTTTATATGTATTTTTAAAATTACAATTTATATAATGTTAGGATTGGGTTGGGTCAAGAGTTTTTGTTACATTTTTGTAAAATTTAAATTGCTTTGAAATTTAGAATCGATTTCGTGTTTTCTCAGTTGGTAAGTCGATTTTCTACGTTTTGAATTGGGTTTGTAATTTTTCTTTGAGAGTGAGTGCTTGATTTTCTTTAATGTAAGCGTAAAATTAAAGGTTATCACTTAATACCTAACTTGATTTATCGATTTTGCTTGGTATTTGCATGTGCTACTACGTTTAAATTCGTTAGACTTCATATTTGACATACATATGCGAAAAAATCGTTTTTGTCTCGATTTTAGATGGCTTGAAGTTGAAAAACTTTACAATTCTCTGCCAATCAATAGTTTAATATAGTGATAATTTGTCGAAGAGAAAGTCTGTTAGGCATAAATATGTATGGAGCATCGTTCGTGTTATCGTCTTTTTTTTTCAAATGAATGCATTCGAAGTTATTACATGTTCGTTCGCACGATCCCCCTTCCCGTTTACATGTTAGCTATGCTAGCCTATAAATTAGTGATTGTTGTATGCATTGTCCCATAGTAGCTTACCATCCCAGTTATTGCCAAAGACTCCATATTCAATTCGAAGACTGATTTGTTTTTACTAGCGAGCAATTGAATCCCGGAAAGCCTAGTTCTCGCTGAGATCCTTGATAGCCTGCAGTATACGCTTGACGTGGCCCACTTTGACCACTCCCAGATCCTTAAGATCGCGCCTTCCCAGAGTGAGCAGCTCCTTACCGCGAATGTCGTTCTTTAGGAAGCTGTCCACATACTCTGACAGTTGCATCGTTTCCAGCCAGGTGACCACCTCGTTGACACTCCAGTTGTTGGCCGCCTCGCGGGTGTTGGTCAAAGGTGGCTTAAACGCCTGCTGGCCGGCGGTCGAGCCGGAGCGCAGCCGCACCCAGAATGGTCGTGACTTGCGGCGGCCATCGGTCTGCGATAAAGAATAATATATTTTTAATTTAAAAACAAAGCTTCTACAAATAAGAAAAATTACAAAATCATTTCTTATACTTTAGTATCGGCCTATCCAATTTTTAAAAGCAAACGAATCTCTGAACATGTATCAAGACCTCAAGCACTGAGCATAAATACTGTGGCTCAACTGCAATATTTTCCTACTCACTTCTTCATTGGGCGCCAGGACATTGAAGTAGGCCCGCAGCTTGCCGTCGATGCACTTTTGTACGGAGCACTTTTTCAGCTCCATTTCCATGTTGGCCAACGCCGCGCTGAGCTTTGTTTCCAAATCCTCGCGGAGAATCAAACTGTGGCCCCGATCGCGCAGCAGGGTGCACGCATCGTCGTACAGCTGGCGGGATGAGTCGATGACCTCCACCAATTTGGTGCGCAGGGAAGGTCCTTCTAGCAGCTTGCCCTGCGGGTGGATAGATTCCAGAGCTTCACTGGCCCGACAGGCCACCTCGTAGAGATCGTGTTGCAGGGCCGGATGCGAAATGATCAAGAACTTGACCCACTTGACCAACGAGCTTACGGCTTCGATGAAGTTAAGAAGCACGTAGCACTCGCGTTCGGAGATCACCTCGTCCGTGGAAATGGCATGTTCCGAAGCTGTGGAAGATGCATCCCTCTGGATAGATATGCTGTGCTGGCGCTGCTTCTCCTGCCAGCTCTTCAGCGAAAGCTCCAGGCTCCTGTTCCTGCACAACATCTGCACACGGTTCTTGTGCAGGATGCGAATCATTCCCGGGGGCTGTAGCCAGGCCTCGCCGTCTACCTGGATGGGTATCTCCTCGTCTCCCAGGATGTTGATCTGCACGCTCTGACACTGCGCGATCCGATGATGTTGCAGATTGATCAGCCGCGAGGCTGCCATCTGCACGGATCCAAAGACAGCCACCACTTCAAGGACACGATCATCAAAGCTGGGCGGCAGAAATATGTCATCCTTCTTGCTGCTGCCCCAGAAATTAGTGCCGCCCATGAAGCTGGGTATGTTCAAGATCACAATTCCCTGGAGTTCCGGCAGTGGAATTCTCTGTCCATCGCATTCTAGCTGCACGCGCTGCTCCAGATTTTTGCACGTCTTCTGTAGGAGTTGTTTGGATCCCAGTACCCCATACCACATGTAGTTGCGGGCTCGGGAGCGACACTTCTCTGGGTGCTCCTCCCTCTTGTTGTGGAAGTCCAGCGAGATCTTGGCATCGATTCCGATGCCAAAGTAGTTATTCATCACACACTTCTCATGGTAGCCGGCTAGGAGGGTCTCATCCGGATCCATGAGGGGACTGACAGCGGCGCAGAGCGTGTCGGCATTGGCCAAAAGACATTTGGATATGAAGCCACCGCCATTCGCAAGGTCTGTAAAAATATTGGTTTCAGAAATGCTCTTTAATGTAAAAAATAAGGGAAAAGCTAATAGAGCCCTGCACGAGTTGAGTTTACAATTAGCTCCAAGCTAGGACTTTAACTGTTCGTCTATGATCCAAAATCATGGACCATGGAACATTGAAAAATAGAGTAACACCTTCCAATAACTCGCTTTAAACAGCTCAGCTCGAGGAGCAAGACATACAAAGCAAACCATTCAATCGAGTTCCCATTCATCGAACACACGGCAGCTCAAAATACTCTTGGCAAACAATAAAGGCGAACACTCTTTTAAATAATTAAATACTTTATTGTTATGTATCCGCGCGAATTCTTCAGCTGAAGATGATCAAATATATTCTTCAGGGTAAAATAATTGCCGATAATAGCGAACAAATTATCCTCATTTAAAAATTATTCACTATGAATTCATTAGGGATAGTATTCTCGCAACTGTAGGCCATCAGTCCCGTTTTTTAACCGTTACTTGTAGAGTAAAAAAGTATATTGTATTCGTGGAAAAGTATGTAAATGGTACCCATAAAGTATATGTATTCTTGATCAGGGTCAAAGCCGAGTCGATCTAAACAGCTGGGTCTGTCCGCCCGTGTAAACGTCGAAATCTCGAAAACTATTCGAGATAAAGATTTGAGATTGAACATGCAAACTCTTGCGATTTCACAAGTTTGGCACACCCACTGCAACGCCGACAAATCGTAAAATTACTAAGAGACAAATAAGAGATGGTGCCCACTAAAAACATTCCAAATCTAACCACTATTTTACGTTAATGCATATTTGAAAACCCGAGTTTATATTTTTTCGAGAGCGAAAAAAATAACTATTAGTGTGGTGCTGCTCGCTTTGGCTTGTAGTGTTGACACTGCACTTTGCAGATGGTGCCACCTATATTGCTAATCGAAATGTGACATTACCGGGGGCAAATGTATGCGGGTCGGTCTGGATTTGGTAGCAAATTGTAATTGTAACGGTGAAACTCTAGTTCTCTAGCATGAAGAAAAAGGTTTTTCATTGGGTCCAAAAAGCGAGAAGTGCATCGGAAGTTTTTTTTTTACCAATGTTGTACCAGAACCCCACACTTTTTGGAGTTATTAGTTGGCATATTTATTTTGAAATTTACAAAATACAATTACAAATATCTTAAAGTCGAGACACTCACTAATGGCGTTTCTTCTAAAAAAAAATTAGCCCATTATTTTAATCGAAATATAGTTCGTCGTAAAGTGCTGGGATCTAAACTATTGAATAAAACAACTTTCTTGTTTTGATGAAGGGGGTTTAAAGGGTTCTTTGGGAACACTCGCTCAGGGGTCTAGTAGATAATAAATAAATGAATATATATCCTTACTTGGCCAGTTGGGCAGTCGCACCAATGGATTGATTATGGGCAACTTGCGATTGGTCTCCTCGGTGGGCGTTTTCTCCTTGTCCTTGCCACCCTTGTCCTCCTTGTCCCCAGCGGCGAAGTGATCGAAACCGAATATAGTTGAACCCATGAACAAGCTCGACTTGGAACCTTTGAGGGTCTGGAGATTCGGAAGGGCTTCGTTCGGCTGCAAGAGAGAGATTTTGATTAGTCGCGGAAATAAAATGGGGACAAGTCGAGTACGTGTCAAAGAGCAACCGGAAAGTCAGCACTAACTACGATACAAAGAAACATGTGGATGTGATCGAGTGTGACTCTGTGTGGGTGAGTGTGCTAGTGTTGGGTGACTTGCAAATACGTCGCAGGACTGGTAAGTACTTTTCAAGGAATAGCGAGAGAGAGAGACAGAGTTACAGAGGCGGAGTGAGTGTGAGTAGGTCTTAGCATGGGGAGACAGCACACTACGTAAATCCAACAAAACAATATAAATTATAGATGGTCGGGCATTAAGCAGAGGCTAAATGTGTCTGTAGTTTTCGTTTGTGTGTTGGTTAGTAGAGTTTTATACTTATTGGAAACTTTGCAATAAACTACTCAAAAGCGAGCCGACCCAGGTGCTGAGGATCTGCCACTGTCATTTTATAGAGACGCTTTTTACAGAGGGAATGTTAATTTTCAAGACTGCTGCAGACCCATTACAAAGTTGTATTGATTATCTCAGAAATATCACATTGTATTGAAGCGTAACTTATATGCACACCTGACTTTTAATAGCCTTACAGAGTTTACAACGAAGTGAAGGGCACATTTATGACCCTATATATTCTCGATCAGCATCACCAAGCGAGTCGATCTAGTCGTGTTCGTCTGTCCATCCGTCTATCTGTTTCTACGCAAACTAGTCTCTCAATATTAAAGATATTTGGATAAAAAGAAATTTTTTTGTTGCTGCTTGTGGTTTCTTAAAATATATCCAAATACTATAAAATATAGTATTTTTTAGCAATTTCAGAAATACTCTTTTAGATTTATAAAATTCGGACGACTCACATAGCTGCCTTAGGAACGATCGGCAAATGTGTTGAAATGTATTGTTATTAAACATTGAAATCGAAATTTTGTAACAGCTGCAATGGTATAAAAACTTTGGCTCACCGAAGTTTATTTCCTTTCTTGCTATTATAAAAATAGTAACTAAGTGTTATTTAAAATTTGCACTAAAATATTTAAAAACAATTGTTATTGGTTACTTTTAAGAAAAAGTTGTAAGTCTTAATTGCAGTCCTTAGTTGATTTTAAACTGCTTTAAATTTGAATGTTTTAAAAATAAAAATATTTATCATCTTTTTTTAAACATTAAAAGCAAGGATTAAAAATTCACTGTGTTTTAATGTTTCATATATGCAAACATATATGATTACAATTTTAGAAATATAGTATGTATATTTATGTTAATTACAAAACTTAATTAATACTAATTATTATTTAGAAATTAAATAGATTGGTTATTACCAAAGCGACAAAATTTGAGAATTTTACGACATAAAACAATATATTTTACCCAAGACAGTTGTTATACGGACGTTAATAGGAAAGTTCTTGAGCCAAATAAGATTCATTTTGATATACTCATTTCGACCCCAGCGTATAAACTAATTTTTGTAAGGGGTCTTCTTCGGTAACCCGAAGAGTTTTCGCGATTAGTTGGTAGTGTCAGATATTTGCACTTGCTGGGGAATTTACACATCGAACGAACGAAGAAACGCAGAAACAGGTTGGGAAACAGAGGGAGTGGGAAGGTCCGGTGCCCGTGCACTTGGGACCCCATCCCGGATTTTTGGACTGGCTTACCAGAGGAATCAGCGGCCTAATAAGCGCCAGGGTGGCTAGGCGAATATCTGGCTCGGCCACCACAAAGAACCGAACACTGAACAATCCGTAGCCGCGCTTGGTGGCAATATTTTGGTTTTTCTTCTAAGAAAATGTATTTATAATGACTTTGCTTTTAAAAATAGTCTTTAGTTATGTATTTTATCCATTTAAGGCCTTTTTACACAGTCTAATTTCTCTAAGGGCTATAAACAAATTTTTTAATGATTGTATCGGTTGAAAGTGCAACATTTTGTCAATCAAAACTTAAATAAAAACTTTAAAAATTGGAGGTATGTAACTTCATTTTGATTTTATTACTGAAAGTTTCTTATGGCCCAATCTCAACTTGTCATAGTTTCCTTCGGCACCTCTGATTTGGAATGTATTATTTGCATTCATAAAACGCATAATGTGGTACATCTACCTTCAAAAACTATCCATTAATCTGCCAATATTTAAAAAAAAACAATAAAAAATATAATATTTCCAAATTATTTTTTTATATTATTTCATAAGAACAACATTATTATATTAGATAATATTTTTCCTTTATGTTGCCATACTCTTAGAGATAGCTATAAAAAGCTGTATATACCTATTTCTATTTTATCGCAATCTTAAATACCATATTATCTCAAAAACTTTAAAATAACTAAAGCTAAAAATCAGACTGTGTCAAGAGGCATTAACAATATGGTAAAACCTTATAAACACTGAAATGTTTTCAGCAGGAGTGTGTCTTTGTGGTGAGGAGTTTAAGTGTTGGTTAAGAATATCTAAATCAAAAGATAAGTTCAAGTTAAAAGAATTTTGGAATACGTACCAATTGTTTCTGTGCTATTGTAAATCATATACATGTTTTTTTATTCGGTTTTACATTGTATTGTATTGTAGATTACTGTTAAATGTCAAAACAAACTAAAGTAACTCATGAATACTGTAAAAAAATACCGTAAAAAATAAACACCTGTTGAAACACCTTGCACGGTTTATAATATTCTAAATGATACAACTTGATACCTTTGGCAGTTATTTACTTGCAAAATAATATTTAGAAAGGAAAACAACTAAAACGTTTTATAATCTATTTAAAATGTTTGTGGTTCATTATACCATGTTTCTTTTTTAAAATACTACAAATTAAACTTTTATTTGTTAAATTAAAATCAGCTTAAAATTGCATGGATACTCTAAACTTAATTATTAACTCCATTTTATTTTCGCTTTTGACGAAGTTAACCAAATTTATTTATGCTTGCACGAAATGTGTCCTAACAAATAAATATTATGTAAGCTGCAAACTAAAAATACGTGAATACCTGGAACCGTATCCAGACTTTTTACGGAACTCCTTGACGCTCGGTTATTGACTGTGATTCGCATGTACGAACCATTACCTACAGTCGCTGTTGTTAGTGTGTGACTGTATGAGAGCTGCTTTCTGCACTTGCATTTGCACTTGACACCAATTGCTCTCCTGACACAATCAAAATTTAAGAACTTCGCAATTGACGACGATTTGAATTGAACATATCTCACGCACTTGGTCAAAGTAGCACAACTCAAAGTGTTAAAGTGATTTTAAAATTTAAGAAACTAATTTTTCGAAACCGTAACATATTAAAAAAAACAAGATTGGGTGAATTTCGTGGATTGGTTTATATGAAAGAATCTTTCTTTTTAAGTTTTTTTTTATATTCTTTAGGTAAAATATTTCTTTCTACCAAGCTTGTTTTACATTAAAAGTACAATTGGACCAAACAAGTTCAAAAAAATAAGTCGTCATATTTTATTCCTCACCCTTAAGATGATTCCAAAAAGGTTTTTATATATTTTTTTAAACCGTTTTTATATCCGGGGCCCTAAACTGAAGGACCAGTACTTTAATATCGAGGCAAAAGTAAATTATTTCTGTTCAGCGTGTTGTGCCACTTTTGTCAAAGGTGAGCAATATGGGGCCCTAGTTGCAGAAAAACTATGCCACGACCTGGCTTGCACGTAAACTCACCTTGAAGAGGCTACCGCAGCTGATCCTGCGACTGGCCGCCGGCGAGCTGCTGAGGAAGCGGGCGTGGTCCGGGTCCAGCGTCAGCTGGTTGGGATTAAAGCCCGAGTGCCGGCGATCCTTGTCCTTGTCAAACTCGCGGACAGCCAGCCCGGGGGCGTGGCTCGAGTGGCGCCGGATTTCGGAGGCGTTCATGGCTCGCACGCCCAGCATTCCAGAGCAGGCCATGGACACGGCCATGGCTCCGCCGGAGGAGCCCGGCAGGAGCGAGGTCGTGGGCTTGACAGAGTCGCCGCGCAACGGCGTCGGCGGTCTCACAACAACACTTATCTGTGGATAGTTGGGATTTACATCATCAAAGGATTCTTTCTTACACGACTCATCAAAAGTAATGCGCTTTACATCTTGTCCATGGCCCGATTTCTTCGTGGGCGATGTCGACGTGGTCAAGATCGTATTGACCTTCATGCTGGTGTTGATGTTGCGCACAGTGGCATCAACGTCTTGTATTTCAATTTTGATTGCCGTCTGCGTGGACAGCTCGTCCTCGCTGGTGGTGGCCAGTAAACTTGCCACATTATTCGTTGGCGTTTGCTGGGCCTCGGGGTCGTCAATATTGTGGGCGCCGCTTCGTTGTTGATCTAGCATTAGCTGCTGTTGAGATACGATTTCAGTGGTTGTAGTGGGATTGGGTTTTTTCAGTGAGATACGCTTTTTGGGACGCTTCGTCGGGAGCAGGATTGTAATTAGAAGTCGATGGTTTTTGTACATTGCAGGGTCGGTTTTAGTTTGTTTTGGTTAGTTCGATTTGGACGGGTTAATATTTGGTTAGATGTTGGTTGATTCGATTGAACAGCCGAAAAAGAAAAGTTGAAGAAAGAAGCAAACGTAGAGCAACAAAGAGTTTACCATAAGTTGCCATATTTCAGCACTGCCGACAACCATACAGAACAACTCTACATACGCTCTCTATACACAAACTAGACATACAGCTTACGCAACCTAGTCGGCTATGGTACCTACCTTAAAGCTCTGACGCGCTATATCGTTACCTTCCACGAACTGCGCCAGGCTGCAGTAGCGCGGTGGTTCCCGCATCTTCTGGTCGTCACATCGATTGTCGATTTCGAAAACGATGTTTTCGAACCCAAACTGCTGCGGGTTATCATCGCTATCCATTCGCGCCATTCTGGGCGGAGACGAGTTGCGCCTGCGCGGATGGGAGTGGGCCCGGCTCAAGGCGCTTAGCGACTTCTTGCGGGGCGGTTTCGGTGGTCCCGCATGCTCCGAGCAAAGAGTGGTGGTGTCGTCGGTCAGGGTATTGTCCTGCAGGGCATAGGTTATGTCGTGACCCAGTACGGAGCTTATATCGTCCATGATGCTCTCGCCGGGCATGGCCTCCGTCTCATCACTAGTCTCCGGAGAGTCGATGTGCGTGAAGTTGCTGGCATCCATATTCTGTGTGAGATCGGAAACAAGTTTTGGTCAAGAACAATCTGGGTTAATATAATTGGCGCCCCCGGGGCTATGATCATGACTTAAAAATCGTACCCGAGTGTGCCGTTTATAAATTTCTGTCAAGAAAGATAATTAGAGTTTTACCTGCCATTTAAAAAAGTTTTTCTTAATTTCGCATTAATATCCAAAAAATAACGCCTTAAAATAGTTAAATTGTGTAAGGAGTTAAATAAGAAGACACATAGTGCAAATAATAACACAATTAGAGACCCGAAATCACTTTTGCAACAGCCCTCCATCGAGAATTAGTCTGTCAATAAAAGACCTTAAAAGTCCTGAGACTTCTGTTCGTTCTTTCTTGTCAGTAGGGCGTTTCTGTTTTAATACCATATTTGTGGAACGGACATACACATCAACTGAGCTAGCGACACGACCTTTGCACAGAGCGGAACGTAGAATACCAGATCGTTACGATTGTTCACCTGTATAATGTCTCCCACGGTTTGTCCTGCGTCCTGTTTGTCGAAGATTTCGGAAGCTACGCTGCACTCCTCATTGCTAATGGCTGAAAGAATATCGCTGGCCTCGCCACCCAGATCATCGGAAGATGATTGCTCCTGTAAAAGTTAAAAGAAGTTGGGTAATCATCGTGGGGATGGAACTTTTCGGAGGATGAGACACGTACGGTGATGGTCTGTGCATCGGTATCAATGATTGTTAGACTGGCGCTTGTGTAAACATTTTGGGAGTTGGGGGTAACGACAACGCCGGGTACCTGCAGGTTACAAGTATGTACCAGTTTCTCGGTGGGCATGCTGTCCTCCTTCTCCACACTTTTATCCTTCTTGTCATTTTCTACATCTCCGTACTGCTCCTTCTCCTTGTCCTTGCCCTTGTCTTTGTCTTTGTCCATTTCCCGGGTCATATAGTAGGTGCGTTCAAAGACCTCGTGGGGTCGATAGTCGGATAGGGGGTCCACGATCGGCTCACCCGTGTGGATCGGAACCCGGAGGAAGTCCACTTTTCGCTCGGTGGGCGTGATATCGCCACCATCGCTGCTGGGTGACAAACGATTACCAGCATCATCGATATTGGCTCCACCGGTCAGGGACATGCGACTCCTTCGGTATACGGTCTCCCCACTAGCACCCTCCTCGATCTCCTGGATCACCTCCACGCCAGAGCTCCTACGACTGTCGGCGAATTGTCGCGGAGCGGGCAGATTTATGCTGTTAAAGAAGCTCTCGTCCACGGAATCGCGTCGAGTATCGGGCAGCGGAGAAATGCAGGTAAGTCGGGAGGTTTCCATAGTGGGGGAGATAATATTGATGGGTGGGATAATTGGCAAAGGAGAGGTGCAGGGCGTCGATTCCCCGGAAGTGCTAGTGGGAATCTTTAGTGCCTCAAAGGGCGTGATCGAGAGCTTGCGCTGGTAGCGTTTGGGACGTCCCGGCTCCGAGTGCTCCACAACATTATATATGGCCCGCTTGACACTGTTGGCACGGCACTGGAGCGCCTCCTTTTCGCTGGAGCGAAGCGACCGACTGTTCCTGCGCTCTTTTGAGTTAATCTGGTCTTTCTCCGTCTTTTCGATTGATATGTTTGGATTTCTGAAGGGTCGTTAATTAGTTTATTAGTAACAAGAAAGGAAAGCTAACTTCGGGCGGAGCCGAAGTTGATATACCCTTGCAGAATACTCTGTAAATTATATTCTTCAAAATTATTCATATGATGCATTCTTAATACTCATAAAAAATCCCAACTTCCTAACTTTAAAAATACCAAAGTTATGGCATTTCCGATCGTTCAGTTATATGACAGCTATAGGATATAGTCGTCCGATCCTTATGAAATTTGGTAAGTCGGATTGATTGGCCAAAAATAAAACCTATAGAAAATCCTAACTTTCTAACTTTTCAAACACCAAAGTTATGCAATTTCCGATCAATCAGTTATATGGTAGCTATAGGATATAGTCGGCCGATCCCGGCCGTTCCGACTTATATACTGCGTGCAAAGGAATGAAGGGTGTGTGCAAAGTTTCAATTCCATATCTTTAAAACTAAGAGACTAGTTAGCGTAGAAACAGACAGACGGACAGACGGACGGACGGACATGGCTATATCAACTCAGGAGGTGATCCTGATCAAGAATATATATACTTTATAGGGTCGGAGATGTCTCCTTCACTGCGTTGCACACTTTTGACCAAAATTATAATACCCTCTGCAAGGGTATAAAAATTATAATATCTGCTAAGTGCGGAGGTAGTTCGGAAAATTAAAATGAACAATATTTCAACTGGGGAAAGACTCTTATACTCTTACCATATTCGGATTGTTGCTAATGGCATAATTTAGCATATTCATGCACAAATTCAATATAGTCTTTAAAATTCTTTGAATTCAGGTTTGAAATCCCTGTCCACAATAATTAAATTTAAAATCTATACAATAAGGGTATTACTTTCATAATTAATTTTAACTTTAAATAACCGTATCTAAAATTGCATAAGGCACAAATGAGTTATTCTAATCTTCTCTTAGGGCTACCTGCGTGTTGATACAATAAACATCCAATTGGAATTACTCACAGCAGTGAGGCACTGGATTCTGGTGTCAGCGGAATACTTCTTGCAATGAGACTCCTGATGGTGGCTATCAAGTCGTCGCCGCTGTGGGCGCCGATCTCCTCTTCCTGCAGTGCATCCAGCAGCATGTTAAGTTTTTGCTTGAGGATATCGCACTTGACGGCAAGCTGTTCATCATCTTTGTGGTGCTCCGAAATGCGGCAGACCAAGTCGTCCACAGTGTCGCAGAGATTCCGCGTGGAGCTGATCAGGGTCTGGGTGTCGTTGGTTTCCACTATGAAGCGCAGGTGGTGGTTGGCTGATGTCACCATGCCAGTGAGCATCGCTTCCTGCTCGGTGCTGATGGACATCTTGGGCGTTTTGGGCACGGGGATGGCCTTTTCAAAGACCATGATGCTCCAGCGATCAAGCATTTTGGTGCTGGCCGACTCGTAGCGCTCCAGGATCTGAGGTAGGTGGGTGTCGTCGTCGCAGCTTGAGCCCCATCCCAACACCCTGGCCAGATCGTTGCCAGTGCCCAATGGCATTACTGCCACCTGACATTGTTTCTGTGAGGTCAATGAGATATTAAAATAATTTTTTATTAATACCATGACCCTTTACTGGTTCTTGGGATACATCGAATTAAAATTAAATGAACTTACATGCATGTTGAAGCGATCGATTTCGCTGAGCACCCATCCCACAGAACCGTCTCCAGAGCAGACCAGAATTCGAAACATCTCGAAGTGGCGAAAGAGCCTCAGTCCCAGGCTTGGACCCGTGGAGATAAGATCGAAGACCTGGGCTGGATTCAGCAACTGCTTAAAACGCCTCAAAAACTTCACGCCCTGATTATCCCCAGACTTAGAGTTCACGAAGACCAGCAAGGGGGAGAAGTTGCCCTTGGGGCTGGCCACATCCCAGGCGTCGTCGGTGCTGATGGAGTGGACACTGGTGGGGGGAACCACGGACAGCTTGGCGGGTCCGATTGGGCAGGCCACCGCCATCTGAGGTCGACAAGCCACATGGACGGTGGCTCGACACCACAGGCACCGCCAGTCCTGGAGTCTCAGCACCGATCCGCAGGTCTTCTTGCAGACGGCGCACATGGAGGACACCGGCAGGTTTCCCTCCATCCACTGATGCGGCATGATGATTCCATCCGCCTGTTCGATGATGTCCTTGCCGACACTTGCCAGCGTTGTCCACTTGCAGTTGGCGATCGACTTGGCCGCACACCGCTTGTGCACCTTGCACTTGCACACCTCGCAGCTGAGTCCGTGCGAGGTCACGCCGGAAAGGGCATCCCGGCACACATTGCAGTAGGTGGGGCGGGCGTGGGAGGTGGCGTACCAGTGGTGGTGGTTTGACAGGATGTCGTGCTGCTCGATCAGGAAGCTGTCACCACGCGGCCTCTGCGGCGCAGTCGCCGTCTTCAGGCTGCCCAGCCAGTCCTCCATTTCGCGGCGGGACTCGGCGCAAAGCACCAGTGAGCGAGTGGGAGTTGTAATCTGCGGGAAAAGAGAAAAATGGTGGATAAGTATTTTGCCATTTTTATAGCACCGAGAGTTGTCCACTCTCTCGATTTCGTTACGAGTAAGATACCGATCAAAGGTTATAGGTTAAGGAGTAATTGCAGTAATTCTCGCTTAGCGCGATAGTATCTTTTCTTTAACCTCACTTGTGAGAATCCGAAACTTTGTTCAAAACTAAAGCAATTATTACGATTTTTCAAATTAAAAAGGTCTCTTAAATCGTTTTGATTCATAATATTATACAATTAATGGAAAAAATTAACAAAGAAATCCGTTTTTGTTTTCCCAAAACACATCTTAAAACCTTTTCTCCAAACATGGTTTCTGAAATCAGCACGTCAAAATCAATATAAAGGCCATTTTTTGAATAATACATTTTCGTTTGTTACCTTGTTAAGAGGTGTCATTGGACAGATGAGGAATATTACATAAAACCTTGCCCATTATGACTGTGTTGTTTTACCGCAACTGGAAAATGTGTATATTTGTGGGTCTAACAGCGGTGTGCTTATTAGTTGTGTAATCAAACGAAGGTTTGGTATGTAATTTGGTGGCCTCATTAATATGTTAATGTTTTTCATGTTAATGATAATGCTCAGACAGCTAGGCCAGTCGAAGGCTTTGGGTCATGTGCCAAGCCCGTAAGTAGGAAAAGCCAACGTATAAGCACGTTGAAGTGGCCACAACCTCCCACAAAACTAATATTTCCGACCTTCTAAGTTACCTTAGCGGATTATGACTCGTATGCTCCGTTGATCCCTGCCTTATTTATGAAAAACACGTCCTTCTAGGTTATTTTCAGTTGACTATTTTTTACCAGTTTTTCTTTCTTTTCGCTAGTTGCAACTTAACAGAATGTTTTATTGACTAAATAAACTAGCAAAGTGTCTAGACAAGGTAATGTTATGACTTTGTGTTTTACCATTAATTTCAATGCCTGAGCTTAATGAGATTTTCTTATTAACTTTCTCTCCTTAAACGGGGTCAGATGACTCTAATAACTCAAGCATTCCATGACGAAACTTCTGTCAGCCAAGTTTTGCGAGTGCCGTCGACTAGGTTGGGTGCTTTGACAATGGCCGGTTGGCAATGTCATGAGCTGGGACGACTTTTGATCTGCAAACCTACTTTAGACCTACTTTAATCAATATGCAGTGCTAAAAAAACGGATAACTCAGAGCTAGCCAAACAAACCGCCGCACTAATTGCATATCAAATGCATTAATTGCGCACTAGGTTGTCGGGCCAGAATTTTCAATCAAAAGGATCAAGCTCCGCCTGTTTGCATACTCAATGCTATTCCAATTAATGTGCAACCGCAACCACAAAGCCTTCGCCATCGTTATCATCACAATCCAACCTGGCACTCCTTCCTCTGGGTTCTTCCTGTTTTCCAATTAGCCTAATGTGCAATGGGTAACTGGCTCTCAATGCACATGCCTTTGGGCGTTGGGGACTTCCCTGCTTCCGGCTGACTTTGACGTCTGCCACATCGGCCGCCCACCGCCGCATTCCCAAAAAGTCTGGTACAGAACAATAGCTTTCGTGTAATTTGCGCTTGGTTTTTTGTAGATTTGGATTGTTTTATTAAATCAAACATAAACAGCTCTTAACTAGTTAAAAAAAAGTCGTGACGAATTCTGATAAAAAATTAGTTTGCGCAGAAACGGACAGACAGGCGGACGGACGGACAGACGGATATGGCTGGACCGACTCTCCTGGTGATTAGTGTCGAAAATGTGGCCTTCAGTGCGTTGGAAACTTTTGACAGAAACTATAATAACCTCTGCAAGTGTGTGCTATTATTATTTACAAAAAACAGTTGAGCTATCTTAATTTGTAAGCTAATTCTTGTAAGGCAAGCAAGTTTTAATACCCTTGGAGTTTAACTTAAAATTGACGAAAGCGTGCACTGTGCTCATTAATACTATGGAATTTTAAAACAATTTGTTTTGGGGCGTTACATTTTTTATACCCGTTACTCGTAGAGTAAAAGGGTATATTGTATTCGTGCAAAAGTATGTAACAGCTAGAAGGAAGCGTTTCCGACCCTATAAAGTATATATATTCTTGTTCAGGATCACTAGCCGAGTCGATCTAGCCATGTCCGTCTGTCCGTCTGTCCGTCTCTCCGTCTGTCCGTCTGTCTGTCCGTCTGTCTGTCTGTCCGTATGAACGCTGAGATCTCGGAAACTATAAAAGCTAGAAGATTGGCATTTTGCATGTAGATTTTAGAAGTTCCTACGCAGCGCAAGTTTGTCTCAAAATGGTGCCACGCCCCCTTTAACGCCCACAATCGCTTATATACGATTTTAAAAATTTAAATATTTCGGAAAAGTAAAAATGCAGTTTTATTGTGTTTATCAATACCTATCGAAATGTAGAAGAAATTTTTCAAATCGGACCATTCGTTAAAAAGTTATGCGTGCTCAAAGTTTCTATCTCCATCTCCCTCGCACTCCCTTTACCTGAGTAACGGGTATCTGATAGTCGGGGCACCCGACTATAGCGTTCTCTCTTGTTTAAATTTTGTTTTATCGTTATATAAATCAAAAACGGGTATAATAAATAAAAGTTTTTGAGAAAATGAAAAATTCGAAACATATTAAATGTTGCAACTTGTTGCTTGTTATAGGCTGAAATAACTATTATTAAAGAACAATATTATTGTTGGCATAATAAGTAGTAAATACACATTTTTGCTTATATAATTTTTGATTTATTTTTTGTTTCAATTATTTAAAGTTGAATCTATTTCACAGTAATTGTTTTTAAAAGATGTTGTTACGCTATTTTTATACCCTTGCAGAGGGTATTATAATTTCAGTCAAAAGTTTGCAACGCAGTGAAGGAGACATTTCCGACCATATAAAGTATATATATTCTTGATCAGGATCACCTCCTGAGTTGATATAGCCATGTCCGTCTGTCCGTCTGTCCGTCCGTCTGTCCGTCCGTCTGTCCGTCTGTCCGTCTGTCCGTCTGTCCGTCTGTCCGTCTGTCCGTCCGTTTCTACGCAAACTAGTCCCTCAGTTTTAAAGCTATCTGCTTGAAACTTTCCCAAAAGTTGTCTTTCTATTGCAGGTAGTATATAAGTCGGAACGAGCCGGATCGGGCCACTATATCATATAGCTGCCATATAACTGAACGATCGGAAATGCCATAACTTTGGTGTTTTTTAAGTTTGGAAGTTGGGATTTTCTATGGGTCTTATTTTTGGCTAATCAATCCGACCTACCAAATTTCATAAGGATCGGACGACTATATCCTATAGCCGCCATATAACTGATTGATCGGAAATGCAATAGCTTTGGTGTTTGTAAAGTTAGGAAATTGGGATTTTCTATGGGTTTTATTTTTGGCCAATCAATCCGACCTACCAAATTTCATAAGGATCGGCCGACTATATCTTATAGCTGCCATATAACTGAACGATTGGAAATGACATAACTTTGGTGTTTTTAAAGTTGGGAAGTTGGGACTTTTTATGAGTATTAAGAATGCATCATATGAATAATTTTGGAGAATATAATTTATAGAATATTCTGCAAGGGTATATCAACTTCGGCTCCGCCCGAAGTTAGCTTTCCTTTCTTGTTATTTGCAATTTTAAAACATACAAAAATAAATATTCCGTGAGAGATATCCAAGTGGCCTGAATCTTATGTTTACCAGTTCAGACTTGGGGATGCATTCCTGATTCCGACTTATTCAACATGGATTTCCATAAGCTTGGGTCCGACTGGGTAGGGTTATTAAAACTTTATTGCCGTTCTTAACTAAAGCGAGTTGTCGTTATAATTACTCAATAACTTTCGAAAACATGTTTTGAAACACTTGTGTGATAAGTCAAGGATGCTTAAAGTCTAAATTTATATTGATATCGTTTAAGAAACACCGAACGATTTCGTACTTGATAATTTAGGTATTTACGAACTTAAATATAGCTAAATATATTTTCCGCAAACTAATATTTGCATTTTCAATAGAAATATTTGTGCCTTTTGCCTAATTACGCAAAAGGGGGTGCGTTGTCGATAGGTTAGACCTTAAATGTGAAGTTTCTGACTTTCCGGATAGAATCCTGGAGTTAAATAGAAGGTCTTGAAAAGTAGTATTTCGTGGGAATATATGGTTACTATTAAAAAACAAAAAAAAAAGGTTCAAAGTAAAGGGTGATTGTTTTTTTTATATATATATAGTTATTCTTATTTTAAGTATTTCGTTTCTTGATTTAAGAACAATTTGTGCTAAATTTCAGAATAAAATTAACTTAAATCGTACTAAAATTAAGTATTTTCGTCCACAGTGATTTAAAGCAGTTGCGAAGAAATTGGAAAAGCAGTTTTTAATTTGAACGCTTTTTTAATGTTTTTACTAACATTATTGCCTTTCCAAGCCCCTATTGATTTGTTTAAGGGGGTATGATTAACTCGCTGCAAAATCGGCAATTTGTTTACATATTTTTATTGGCAATACGAATAGTCTAAGTAAAATTTTTGTTTTCTCATATGATAATACAAAATTTAAATAACATCTGTAAAAATTTACATACAAAGATATTGAAAAGTGTGTGAGGTATAGTGAATCTCAGGAGGCACCGAAAAAAGGGTGGTTTACGATGTACATTGTAACTAATCACAGAATCATCTGAATTGAAAAAATCTAATTGCATGATTTAAGGGACAAATTTATCTAATTTTTTTCCGATTTTTAAAGGCAGAAGTACAGATGGAACAGAAGTACTGAGCAAAATTTAAAAAAATTGGCCAGTAGATTTTTCAGGATCGTGTATAACGACTTTGAAAATGGCAACTTATCAGGAGCGCGTTTTTAAGTTTTGGACACCCAAAAATCAAATATAAAACGCGTTTACTTATCTATGTTAAACTGCCTATAGCTTCGAATGTTTTAATCAGATCCATCTACAATTTAAATACAATATTCTTAAAATGTTGTGCATTAAGAAAAAAAAT